GCTGATTGCAGCTCAGAACACAGACTCCTTGCAAAATTACAACTTAAACTAAAGATTGCAGTATCATCATCATCATCATCATCATCATCATCATCATCATCATCCCAACAAACTTTGCAATATTCCCAATTATTATTTGGTGAAGATAAAAGATGAGTTTAATGCATTAGATTTGATAGAGTGCTTGGAGAACTCTGGAGTGAAATTCACGCCACCATTAGATATGAAGCTTATGGTTGTTTAGTGCTGTTTAGAATTATATATAGTTTTATATAATAGTATACCAATTACATAGATTTATATAGCACTGCACTCAAACTCGATTTTGCAATCATAAAATTTTAACAGTACCGATATTATGTTTTAAATTTGTGCACCTTAAGTTTTAGTTATTCTTGGCACAATGGGATGATTTTAGTTTTAGTACTGAATGTAAATTTTGTTGGTCAATAGCCAAAATAAATGGATGATTAATCATATGTCTGTCGGATGATAAGTTGAAAATAGCTGAAGAAAGACAGAAAGCAAAAGGCAAGGGATATGTATATTTGCCCAATTAAATGTTAAGCTCCCAAGAGCAAGAAGAGACAAAGGAATATACCTAAATAAGCGATAAGAAGAAATTGAGACTAACAGCTGAATATGGAATACAAGAATTTTATTTAAGAAAATTATAGAAGAGAGTCTTTAATGCAAAGAGGGAAATACTGAAAGTCAGAAATCTACTAGAGAAAGAAGATATGGTATGAATATAGGAAGAACTGTATCCAAAAGATCTCAAAACTGATGATACATGTGAAAGTTTGATCACTGAAGTAGAGCTACACATTAAAATGAGCACTAGAAACTATTACTAAAAATAAAGCTGTATTAGTTAATGAAATTCCAACAGAACTATTAAACATCTTACAAACTGTTAGCAGTTAAACTACCACTGTTGTTTAGAAGCAGGCTTTATAATATAGCATTGGCCAAGGGTCTGGAAAAGATCAATTCATATTCCTATATCAAAAAGGGCAATACTAAAGAATGCTCAAAACTACTGAATAAGTGCACTTAATTTACATGCTAGTAAGATCATTTGTAGGCCTCACAGTATCCAGAGATTCTTTCAAAGTCTCTTCTGGCAATGTCATTTGTCTTCACATCATTCAAAAGGAAAAGATAATTGTGGATGGGTTTAAATAGTCTATGGATAAATCATATTGCTTACATCCAATGGAGTTCCAAAAAGATACCTTTCCTTGCTTTATTGATTATTCAAAGACTTTTGGTTGTGTGGGCCACAGCAAATTGTGGATAAATTTTAAAAAAAGAGTGTATAGGTCCCTCCAGTTAAGGGTTGACCTTTAACTAGGTCTTGTTTAAAAAACATTGATATTTCATCCACATAAAAATAGGAACACTTCATTACACAGTACCTTGAGGTCTGAGGAGAGATGTGGTAATTAATTAGGTGTGAGAAGCCATCTATTATATATTTTTAAATAAGACTTAAATTGATATGGGATTGTAGGGCAGATTTTCAATATGTATCTGTATTATTGAATTATTTCTAAGTAAATTTTAAACTAATACCCAATATCATGTGTAAATTCTGGACTTTTGGCCACTATGGGGAGCATCTGCTACTATTCAAAGTTTGTCAAAATGTGTGATAGATTATGGGTCATTGTTGTCACACGTTAAGGGCTAAAAACTTCAAACATGATATTATGTAACCAAGAGAAATTAGTTTCTCCAACAATGAGTTGCAGCAAAATAGTGAATATCAGGACATTATTAAACAAGTCTTTAGCTCAGTGTAAGCCTTTCCTTTCCATGCTCATGACTTAATTTTAGGTAATCAAGAATGGGGGCTGTTGGAAAGACTGGTGTGATATATGTAAGAATTTCATACAGGAACACCACATTCCTAATAAAACTTTATGAATAGAATTCCTTAAATGAATATTATAAAAATGATTATATGGACAAAGTTATCTAAATCATGGAATACAGTCAGAACCTATGTAAGTGTATTTGTAATATTTAAGTATGTGAATCAATTATTTAAATTGGAAATTGATTAAGTACAATTTTAGATTAGGGGTCTAAAAATTGTCCATTGATGAACTTTCCATGTAATGTTGAAGTGGCTAATCCAAAACATTTTTTAATGCTTACAAATTTATTATCACATGAACATATTCAAGGATATAGTAATTAGTATAGCTAGGTTGATTGCATTAAATTTTATATGGAATTCTGGTTCATGACTGTTGCCTTTCCATGTATTTACCTTTAGGTTTTATTTATTTATTCATTTATTCATTTATTTATTTATTCATTTATTTATTTATTTATTTATCAAATTTAGATACTGCCCATCTCACGAACAAGTGACTCTGAGTGGTTC